ATGTGGCAATGCCCTTGTTGAAGTAGTTGGAGAAAGATGGAGCCGTTAAGGGTCTGAAGCTGAATGGACAGCCACCTGATGAGAATTGTGAAATCTGTTTGCTCTCAAAGTTTACCCGTTTCCCCTTCCATAGTGTGACTGGCAGGAGCAAGAAGCCATTGGAGTTGGTCCATATGGAGTTGGTGGGGCCGCTGCCGGTTCAGGGGCACAAGGGGGAGCGGTACTTTCTGACCATAGTGGATGATTGGAGCAGGCTTATGTGGGCATATCCGCTGAAGCAGAAGGACCATGCCGCCTCTACGATACGGGAAGATTGGCTGTCATTCGTGGAGAAGCAAGCGGAGTGTGTGGTGAAGCGGATTAGGACAGATCGGGGTGGTGAGCTCCTTGGAGCTGAGATGACGGCCTGGCTCAAGAAGCAGGGCATCCAGAGGGAGCTGACCACGGCTTACACCCCACAGTCTAACGGTGTAGCAGAACGGGCGAACCGGACAATTCTGGAGACAGCTAGGGCGCTGCTCATAGAATCTGGGCTGGGCAACTTGATGTGGCCCCATGCTGTTCGGCACCTTACCGTCGCTAGGAACAGGGTACTCACAAAGGTTGGGGATGACTCGTGGGTGCCGTTGGAGAGGTGGCTTGGGAGGAAGCTGCCGGTGGACATGCTGAGGGTGTTTGGTTGCATGACAGTCGCCCACGTCCCCAAGAAGTATCGAAGTAAGTTGGGGGCGAGTGCAATCTGGTGTGTGCATTTGGGGCTTGCTGCTGAGAGCAAGGGATGGCTGCTGTGGGAACCTTCCAAGGGTGTGTTGTTTGACAGCAGGGATGTGAAGTTTGTTGAGGGCATGATGTATGGGAGCTGGGAGAAACAGCCGGAGGCCAGGGTGTCCCAGCAGATGGAGCAGATCACCATGCAGCTGGACCTGACTCCTAGTGTGTGGGAGGAGGGAGAGGAGGCAGCTGCAGAGGGTGGTGCTGGAGACAAGGTGCAGGAAGCACCTGCCGGTGAAAACAATGGTGTGGAGACTAGCACTAGTGGAGCTGCTGGATCCGAGGGAGGAGAGCAGCAGCAGGGAAAAACTAAGAAGCCGAAGGGTGTCGTTATGAGGGGATGGGAGACACCCGTCTCCAGGCCAGGACGTACCCGCATGGCTACTAAGAAGCTGAGTGCAGGAGCTGATGTAGCAGAGCAGCAGCTTGGGACAGAGGAGGCATTGCTGATTCTACCGCATGGCTATGATCCGGATGAGGAGGATGAACCTGCCTACTGTTTTCTTGCCGCTGCACCAGAGGAACCAGCTAGCATGGAGGAGGCATTAGCTGGACCAGATAGGGAGAAGTGGCTGGTTTCCAGGGATGCTGAGTACCAGAGCCTGCTAGAGAATGGGACATGGGAGCTGGTGGTGCTGCTGAGGGGAAGAAAGCCGTACAGTGCAAGTGGGTGCTAAGGATCAAGACATGACAAGGGACAGGTCACCATCTACAAGAGTAGGCTGGTGGCTAAGGGGTTTATGCAGAAGGAGAAGCAGGACTTCAATGAGATCTTTGCTCCCACTGCCAAACCCCCTACCCTCCGTGTCTTGTTGGCAGATTCAACCGTTAGTGGGAAATTCATCATCCAGATGGATATATCAACGGCATTCCTCAATGGGATTGTAGAGGAGGATGTGTACATGACGCAGCCGCCTGGGTATGAGGATGGTACGGGCAGGGTGTGCAAGCTGAAAAAGTCCATCTACGGTTTGAAGCAGGCGCCACGCTGCTGGTACCAGAAGTTGGCAGCTGTTTTAGAGGAGATGGGATTCAGGACCAGCAGCTGTGATGAGAGCCTCTTTCTCAAGGGGGAGGGGGAGAAGCTGGTGCTGTTTCTGGTCTATGTGAACGACATTCTTCTCTTTAGCAGCAGCATGAAGGAGATCCAGAATGTGCAGCAGCAGCTGATGGAGAACTTCAAGTGCAAGAACCTTGGGGAGGTAAAGTACTACCTCGGGATGCATGTGGAGAGGGATCTGGATCACAGGTGGTTGAAGCTGCACCAGGAGAAGTTCATCAAGGAGCTGGGGGAGAAGTACGGGACTGAGAATGAGCGCAAGGTTGCAACTCCCCTTCCAGCAGAATTCAAGCTTGTGAAAGCTGCAGAGGATGAAGGGGTTGAAGCCGAGGAGCAGCAGCAATTTCAGTCCTTGGTGGGCAGCCTCTTGTATGCAGCAGTTCACACAAGACCCGACATCTCTTTCTCGGTTGGGCAGCTGGCTAGGGTGGTGCAGAATCCATCAGAGGAGCAGGTGGATGCAGCTGAGCGTGTGGTGAAGTATCTGAACTCTCACCCAAGCATTGGAGTTCAATACTCCGCATCTGCACAGGTGAAGCAGAAAGGGGTTAAGGTGCTGAAAGAGAAGGGGGAGAGGCTTGGAGAAGGCAAGCTCTTTCTCACTTGCTTTACCGATGCTACGTGGGCCTCTGAGAAGGAGGATTCCTCATCTGTGGGAGGATACATCTGCATAGTTGGGGGAGGACCTGTTAGTTGGAGGTCAAAGAAGCAGACGGAGACGGCACTCTCTTCCGTGGAATCAGAGTACATGGCGATGTTCCATGGGGTGAAGGAGGTGATTTGGCTGAGGAGGCTGTTAGAGGAGATTGGCCAGGAGCAAAAGGTTGCTACGCCGCTGTTTTGTGATAGCAAGGGAGCTCTTGGGATGGCCAGGAACGCTGTGCTTCATGGGCTGAACAAGCACATGCGTATCAAGTGGCACTGGCTGCGTAAGGAGGTGAATAGGGGGACGGTGAATCCGATCTACATCAAGACTCACCAGCAGCCAGCAGACTTCCTCACCAAGAGGCTTGCGGATGAGCCTCATTGGCGTTATGTGCGCATGAGTGGAATGAGCATGAACTAGCATGGAATGATGGGGATGCAGCCGGCAGGCTGAGGGGGAGTGTGTTGGGTGCAAATTCATATTGCACGACATCCTGCCGTCTGTTTGTACGAGTATGCGTGTGCGAATGCATTTGGGTGTGAATGGAATGTTCGTGTGTTTGTTTGCTTTCGCAATTTTCGCTTGAAGCATTTGCAGGTACTCGCGCATTGTGCGCTTCGGCACAACATTGTACGCGCTATGAACAGTACAAGCAGAAAGGACGAGCTTGCAAAGGAACCCAAGATGGAAGCTTTGCGGTTCAACTTACTTGATTGCGCAGATTCAGTTCTATCCAACTCGAAATTGTACTGTTTTGTTTGGTTGACTATAGTGTAGCAGGGCAGGCACTATAGGGGTACAATTTAGGTGAAGGTTGGATGTTGTTTGTCTGTATCTGCATGCTACAGGGCCAGGGGAAACCAGCGGAACCAGCATTTGGCTGGTTGGGCAAAGACAAAACAGGTTCTGTTTTTAGGACCTGAACCTGGTTGTTGTTTTCCCAGGTTGGAAAAACAGAACCAGAGGTTGTTTACCAACCTACCACCTGCTGTTTTGTCCAGCCAGGTTGGTTCTGTTGCTTGGAATTATTTGGGATCATCCCTGGTTGTTCCCAGTTTTATTCCCAAGGTCCTTGCTAGCTAGAACTATTTATTCCTTCTCTGTTTGTACCTGGATATAGTCAATTTGATTCAAGCGAATTCCTTCCTTCCTGGAATTCCGTTTCTACGCGGTGCGACGGCGGAATGCTACCCGAGTCAACGCTAGTACGCTAGCACTTCAACACTAGGCAAACGCTGTCCAAGCCATAACTTCGTAATGGCAGAACTTTTTGCGAGGCAACTTGGTTCATTTTAAAGCTCTTGGAGAGAGCTTCGATATAGGAAATTCTCAGCTTAATCCGATCGACGGTCTGCACGATACGCTGCGTGACGTTCAAGGTACTCTTGCTGTTTTGACTAAGTCCCTCTTGATCCCTCTCTCTACAAACTCGGACCCGAGGATAGGGGCTGGTCTTGTACCAGGCACCCAAGGACCCTTGGAGGTGACCCCGAGGAGAGGTTTTAAGTTTGTTTAAGTCTTAATAGCTTGAGTTTATTAGGCCCTTACACCAACAGGACCCGTCGAGCGAAACCCTATCATCTCGTTAGTGAGGAGACAGAGTGTGTGCACTTGATTACCAGACAGGCCTCTAGCAAAAGGGACAGGAAGAGAAGTGATAACGGGAGGGGCACGACAGAAGGGCAGCAAGCTTCCGACAGATGCCATGCAGGTGTGTGTAACTATAGCGATGCCATGCAGGTGTGTGTAACTATAGCGATGCCATGCAGGTGTCTGCAACTATAGCGATGCCATCTCCGCCCCCCGTCTTTTTCTCCTCTGCAATCTCCTGCCCCGTTCCCTCATTCCGGCTACTGCTTTAACCTTCTTCCTGCTGCCTCTGCCTCCTACTCATCCCCTCATTCCCGGCCTCTCCAACATCCTTCCTCTGGCTCCCCCTCTTTCCCGCTCCTCCCATCCCCTCCATACCACTATCCTATGTTGGAATATACGTGTTTCGTGCATATTTGCGTATCGTATATACATTATCCCTAGAATAAGAAGGAGGAATCGGAAGGAACTCTGTTGAGAAGCGCAAACCAGAAATAATGGGAGCAGTTGGGCTGGCTGGTAAGTAGCACGAGAGTGGACTCACTTCCCTCGTCATGCTGGAGGTGAGTCGCTGCCACTGCTAGGGGGTTTAGGGTTAGAGTTTGTGCTATGCTGCCTTCCAACATCATCCTCCTATGCTCTGTCAGCTCTTCTCGGTCTCCCATGCAGCGAAGCCTGCCGGAAAAAACTTGTTGAAGCTTCACCAAGCACCTGCTCATTCATTCATTTTCACCCTGAAGTATGTTTGCTTCCCTACACCTGACCGTCACACCCCTGCCATGCCAATCTTAGTGCTCCTTCCCCCACTTCAACTTTTTCTCAGTTTACACCTCTCTTCTCTCCTCACCCTCATCTGTCCTCGCTCAGTTGTGAGCATAAAGCGCCATGCGCACTTGCAGTCTTCATATATTTTCGTCTCCTTTACTTTGAGAACTAATCGACTTCCCGCCCCTCCGGCAGGCAGGTGGGAGCAGGCGATGGTCTGCTGGCCTGCAAGCTGCGGGAGTGGGGCGCAGAGGGGGAGGGTCTAAGCAGGCCAATAATGAAGAAACGGGGTAGGCAATGGAGGGAGATGGGGATGGGTGGTATTGTGTTTGGATCAGCCAGTGTGGCACATAGGGCGAACTGACGAGCGCTGGAGATGCACCCGCCAGCCACTCGTTCACTGTGATGTTCAGATGGTGTGTCGTGGAAGTATGGAGACACAGCAAGGCGGTGCGGTGCACTGGAATACAATGCAGTGAAGAGCAGGATTAGGGTGCACTGCACATCATTGAAAGGTGCAGGGGGGTAATTATCGGATTGGTTTCCGCGCCAAATATGGGCTTCCTTCCCACTTATTTATCGCGACTTCAGTGTGTCGTGAAACATCGCCTAGGCCTTACCAAGTGAATGTGCCAACGTTTTCTTGGTACACTAGACATCATCTATAAAGCATTTACAGTCCTTTTTTGTTTATGTTGTCATAATAGAAGTATTGACATACCACATCTCAACTGTCCAAACAGATTCACTTAAACTGTTTACCTAAAATCTTGAGACCCTCTCAACTGTAAGAAGTCCCACTGTGTTCTCCCTCAATATCTTACAACTCACGAGGTGCTGCGTATCCCAGCCTTCCTGACTCCTCTGCCCACTCCTCTCCCCTCCCCTCTCACAATCACTCTTCCTTCCTTCCCTCAACGTCGCCACCCTCCTTCCAGCTCTCCTCTCCAATGATTTTGTACTTGTGCAGGGCACTGACACCGTCCTTGCACGTGCATATGCAAATGACTTCGCCAATCGTCTTTCCACCATGCCCCCAAGTTTCCTCACCAGAATTCTCATAAACACTGTCCTCGCCAATCATCCTGCAGCCATCCCTGCTCCCATCCTTCCCGCTATTTTCCCCGATGGTCCTGCCGGGGCACGTGAGCTTGTGGGAGGGCCGGTGTGCCTTTTGGCACTCTCTGCTGCAATACACCACCTTGCCACACCCACCACACCTCCTCAGCTTCACACCGTCACAATCCACCCTCGCACACCCTGCAGCACTGCACACACGGCCTTGAAAATCTGAAGCAGCAGCAGCAGTAGCGGCACTGATGCTTATTATAGTGGGGGTGGGAGGGGCAGCAGGACAAGAAGCCATAGAAGCAGCAGAATGGGTGGAAGCAGTAGCAGGGGCGAACAGAGCAGCAGGGGAGGCAGGGCGGTAGCACGGCTCCCCCAGCAGCATCTCTCGAAGACGTGCCACCAGGTTGACCCCCCCCGGCCACGCCTTCAGATAAGCCGGCACCTTACCCTTCTTTCCCTTCTTCTGAATGCTGTTGCTGCTGCAGCTGCCACCCATCCACTCACAGTTGCTGCTCCCCCTGGCAGACCCACGTTGCCCTTGCAGCCCCTCACAGTACCTCGGTGGGATCGCTGCCTCAAGAATCCATGTGATGTCATACTCCTTAGCCGCTCTCTCCCGCTTCCTGCAGCCCCTGCACTCCTCACTCTCTCCCTCGCTTCCCTGGTTGAAACTCCACGCAGCCATTGCTGCGCAATACCACATTTGCACCTCCTCCCACACCTCTCTGCCGTTCTCCTGATCCACCTCACCATCCCAGAGGCCTTGCCCCTTCACCCTTCCACCTTTCCCCCTCTTCTCCACACCCTTTTTTCCGCACACCTGACTGCACTACCTGCTCCTTTCCACTGCATTCCTGCTCCAACTCATAGCTTTACACAAGAGGACGAGCGCACCACACTGCCATGTGAATGAGGAAGTACAGAGGCACCTGCTCCGCCCATCTGAGCAGCATATGCAGGTTCACAGGCCTTGGCAGGCGTGCAGGGAGGTCCAGACACGCAACCAGCTTGTCGAAGCCATGGGAGGACGGCGGGAAGGCTGAGAGCACGCGGGAGAACAGATGGCTAACGGGGCGGTAAGCAAAGTTGGCGATGAGAGCGGTATGCACATGGATTGTATGAATTCTGCAGAGCAGGTGCTGCAGTGGCTGCATGCTGGAGGGTCCATGATATACCCAGCGAACCCCAGCAGGAAGTCCACGTCTGCCTAGCAGCGAACAATGGGAAGCTTTCTTCTTGGCGGCGGTAGCATTGTCGCTCTCATCTCGGCGGCTTCAAGTGCGTCAGCTCTCCCACGTGCTCTGCTCTGTATGGCTTCCTCCCAAGCTCCTTGCCCTACTGCCTTCGAGACTCTCCTCCTTGCACTCCTGCTGCTGCCCCCTCGTGCTTCAGCTATCCCACACTCTATGCTTAATTCAGCTTCCTCGCTACCTCCTTGGCCTACTGCATTAGATCCTTTTTTCTTTCCACGCCTGCTGCCCCATCCTGATTCAGATGTGTGCTGAGGGGGTACTTGGGTCAGCTTCTGAGCTGCTTCACCACGCTCCTCCAATATTCCAAGCTTAAAACACCTCTCCTTTCGGTTGACAGGAAAGTTCAAAGCAGCTTCGGCGCCCCCAGGCCACTCCTCCCACTCTAAAGGATCGCTTCTTCCCTCCAGAGGCTTGGGGATGGCATGGCACCAAACCTGACCAACAACCTCGGAATGTCCCAAAGCGGGTGGCGCATAGGCCGGACGTTGCTATGAGGGCAGTCCTTGAAGCACCCATTGCAAGATGCAACCGACCCGATAGGTGAGTGCAGCAACAACAGAGCCTCTATTGACAGGCATTCATATCAGCGCTTGCAGCAGCAGCAGCAGCAGGCGGGGTTCTTCCTACATCTGATGCTGCAACAACTCGAGAGAAGCATCGAGCTCTCGCAGGGTGGACTCGCTGAGCTTTGACTTGAGACCCTCCAGGATGTGCTTGTATACACCGAGCAGGGATATGTGCATAATGTCGGACATGAGTTGTCGGTACGGGTTGCCGAAATCCGTGTCGCCAAAGCGTTGTCCTCATAGGGCACTCTGCGATGAACACACACACACACACACACACACACACACACACACACTCACTCATACAAACACATGCACGCACGCATGCATGCAAGCACGCACGCACGCGCGCATGCACGCACGCACGCAAGCACACACGCACACACACACATACACATACACACACACGCACACACACACTAACGCATACACACTGACGCACACAGACACATACACGTGTGCGCATAAACATACACACACACACATACATACACATACACACACAAATACATAGACACACACGCATGCACACACACACACACACATACACACATACATATACACACACACACGCATGCACACATACACGCACAGACATACATACTCTCACATACACACACATACCCACACACACACATACACATACGCATAGACATACACACACACGCATGCACGCATATATGCACACACACATATACGCACTCACACACACATACATACAGACACATACACACACACATTCACATACACACACACGCACGCATTTATACACCCACACATATACACACACACATACACATACATACACATATACACGCATGCACGCATACACACAGACACGCACTCACACACATAGATATACACACACACGCACACACACACGGACATACACACAGGCATACAGAAACCTGCACGCATATACGCACACACATACGCACGCACATACACACACACATACACAGACACATACACACACACACATCCGTTAAGGTCTCGAGCTACTGAAATAAAAACTAGTATGATTTATCATTTACGAATGCTTGAAGCGACAAAAATGTTAATTACCTTAACAAAGTGAATACTGTAGAACTTTGTTAAGTCGTTGCGTGCCGTAACTCTCCTCTCGCATTCCATCTCCATGAGACGCTCCTTTTGTAATGTCTCCATGCGATACACCAGCGGATACGCCATGTTGTTCAGCTCCTCCTTCAAAACGAGGCACCTACGATACGGAAAACGAGTCTTGATGCCGGACTTGGTGCCCGCAACCTTGCACTGCTCCGGATTGTCGCCAATATATGCGTACGTTATCGGAAAAACCGTACGGCGTATGACGAATGGGTCCGTCTGCTCCATACCACTGCATGCATGACAACACGGAAAGTATTAGCAAATTAAAATAATCTTCAACAATGAACAAATGAAGACCAAACAATTCAGTGGCAAACGTTCAAGGACTTACTCATTCTGGGCCATCGTCAAGTCTGCCATTATAAGATCCAACGCTTCTTGAAATACTTCAAGCCGTCGCCGTTCTTTGTCTGCATGCGTGAAGAAGCTCCCGTAATCATCGGGTAGGAGAGCACAGAGTCGATGGCCGTGGAATTTCTATCGCTTCCCTGGTGCAATGTTGGCTAGTGAGATGTACACCGGCCAACCCATGAGTCCCCCATCAGTCGTCAGGGTGGTTTCGTTTGAATAGATAATCACCGCGGCAACGGCCTTGCCTGGGTCAGTAGCTGGCAGCTCGCGCAGAACCTCCCTCCACCAACTCCCCGTCTTAGGACCCTTGTAGATGCATTTCGCCGGGTTGGAGTTTTTGGGAGGGTGCACAACAAAACCCTACGTGTTCGCCACGTTCTCGTAGAAGCTTGTGACGCACGTAAGAGCCAAACGCTGCCATTAGACTACGGGCTTCAAATCACCGTCCTTTGTGAGATTGACTTGCTCAAACAGTTGAATGTTGGCACCGGCCAATTTCGCCTCTTAGTACTTGTCGAAGTCTGCGAGCGACTTGAGCGTAAGACGTCCAGGGTTGGCCACAACTTCGGCGAGAATGGATGTCAGTTTCGTGATATCCACACGCGAAATCCTGAACCCTTCAGCAGCCATGCAAATGAAATAGTGGGAACGAGCATCGATGTCAACGGCTGTCGCATCGCACTCAGGAGCAAACGCATAGCCTGTAAGACCCTCGTTCATGTCAACGGGAGTTGTTGTTGGCCCCGTCCTCGCTTGGGCGGAGCCGACTTCGTGGTTGGGTATACGGGAGGTACAGCCGACTTGCAGCAGTGGTCGACGGGGTTGGTCGACTTGCACGGGGCCACTGCAATGCCGCCGACTTGGGAAGCCGGCGGCCGACTTCAACTGGTGGTCGGCGATGTGGCACGTCGACCTGGAAGTCGGCACCGACTTGCAAGGTCACCGACTTGCAAGGTCACCGACTTGCAAGGTCACCGACTTGGGAGGTCGCCGACTTGCAAGGTCGCCGACTTGGGAGGTCGCCGACTTCAAGAGGTCGACCTGGGAAGTCGACCTGCGGAGGGCGTCGACTTGGTGACGCCGACTTTGGGTAGCCGACTTGGGTTGGTCGACGTGGAGCTGGTCGACCAGGAGTGACGTCGACCTGGAGCTGGTCGACCAGGGGTGTGGTCGACCTGGTGAGGTCGACTGGAGGTGGCCGTCGACTTGGGAGGTCGACGGGCGCATTTGGTTGCCAACACCTGGGTGACGAGGTTCTGCGGAAGAGTGCGACGGTCGCCCAGGCGATGTTGGCGAGACTGACCTCGGTGGTGGTATCCCGAGGTCAACGTGGCGGATCAGGTGGAGTCGTCAGCACGAGGATGACTTGGTGTGTGAGTTGTGCAGGTGACGAGGCTCAGCACGCCAATCATCTGCGAGCACCTGCGAAGCTGGTGCGCTGCTGTTCTGCGGGAGCAACGCTGGCACGCCGTCGACCTGCAGCGTTGGCACGCCGTCGACTTTGCACTGCTGGAACGCGGCCGACCAAGTCGTGCTGGAACGCGGTCGACCATGCTGCACTGGCAGTCGACCGACCTGAATGCTAGCTCTGATGTAGTCTTGTCTTGCCAACCTGATTGTACCATTGTTGTCACCGTTTTCTCTTGCCAACTTGCCCCATGAACTAGCAAGCAGTGTGTGCACTAGGAAAACGACTAAGGACCAACGAGCCCAGAGATCACACGAGCACCCGTGCCTAGCCCGTAGTCCAGCTCCCGTTGTAGTAGTTATCTCCGCAGTTCAAATCTGCCGTGTCGGGCTGCACATCAAAGCGGCTCGCCCCTGGCTGCGTTTCAGTTTGCGCTTGGTGGATCATGAAAGAACTGCAATTGCTCGTAACCGTTCTACAGCCCCTCCTTGGCTATCATCACCACGCAAACCTGCGGACGGTGCTCTTCCACTCTAGCCTTGTGCTGTCCTCTCTTCATATGTCGTGCTTTCTCATGTGCAAATGAGAGCTTCGCTACATATTGAGGGTAGAGGTCACACTTGAAGAGTCTGCTGTCATCCTCCATACTGCATAGATTGTTTCTGCCTTGCAAGGTGTTTGCGCAATCATGTACTATACTACAAGCAACGTGTATAGAACAGCAAACTGCTGCTGACTGCTACGGTACTCTAACTACATCCTCTACTGCTGCTTCCGCTCTGTCACAGGGGTGGCTCAGAAACCTTCTGCACAACTACAAAAACAAACAGCTGAAATTGAAATACATTTTCGGGCTTTACGTTTCTGTGTTTACGTTTTGTGCATCGCCTCAACGATTCATGAATTATGTGAGTTTTCGTAAAAGATTGCGTTCGTGAGTGTTTGTGAAAGTTCGTGTGTGAATGCGAGATTCCGC